GGGAGGGGGAGGTTGCAGTGAGCCAAGATCACACCACTGCACTCCATCCTGGGCGACAGAGTGAGACTCTTGTCTCAGAAACAAACAAAAAAAAAGAATGTAACTGAGTAACGGAGGTAGCCCCTCAAGGCCCTGGCTCTTGAAGGATGCCTTACTGGGCTGGGCTGGGTGGGTGGACATGCCACCTTCCACGGTGCCACTGTAGAGCAAGACACGGAGGGAAAATTCAGATTTGTCCTTGATTTCTAATAGTGGTGTTGGGGGGGTGTCCACGTTTTGTGCTTTAATCAGCCTGTGGAGCCCCTCCTGTGTCCAGAGGTCGCTAGCCTAGTCCCAAGCTAGATTCAGATTCAGCAAGGTATGTTTAATCTGTTTTCTCCACTAAACCCCACCTCCCTTTCAGAGAACACCTTCAAACGCATCGGACCCCCACTGGAGAAGCCCATGGAGAAGGTACAGAGGGTGGAGGCCCTCCCAAGGCCTGTCCCACAGAACCTGCCGCAGCCACAGATGCCACCCTATGCCTTTGTGCACCCACCCTTCCCCCTGCCGCCCGTGCGGCCCGTGTTCAACAACTTCCCACTCAACATGGGACCCATCCCAGCCCCGTATGTGCCCCCGCTGCCCAATGTGCGGGTCAACTATGACTTTGGTCCTGTCCACATGCCCCTGGAGCACAACCTGCCCATGCACTTTGGCCCCCAGCCACGGCATCGCTTCTAATGGCCCGGAACCCCCACTGAGCAGGACAGAGCCCATTTGGGGTGGGGGTGTGGGATGGAGAACACTCCCCTCCCCCAAGGCTGGTGGCTGTGCCATTGCTTCCTAAGTCAGGTTGAAGGGTAGGCTGGTTTTCTTCCCACCTCTTTCCTAGAAGGGCCATTGCTCCTGAAACAGTGGCCACAGCTGCTGGCCCTCTGGGGGGCCTGCATGGGATTGGTTTGGCTCCCACTCGGCAGAGTCAAAAGGGCCTCAAAGCCCTTCTTTGAAGAGTTCTGCCATCCTGGCAGGTAGCATGGTGGCCCTGGCTGCTGTGTCACTCCAGTCCCTGCAGAAAGAAACCAAGAGGAAATATTTTGCCTCCATTCACTTTTTCCCCTAGCAAACACCAGGGAAAAAAACCTCTCAGAATTAAAACCACATGAGCCTTCCTTATATAGCACAGACAGATCCATAATAAAGATGAAAATGGTGGAGTTCAGAGAGAATTGCAACGTGAACTGCCCCTCCTCTCCCCCCAGGCCACCAGGGGTGACCCTTCTGCCTTATCCCCTTATCCATGGTATAGGCCCGGGCAGGCCGCAGTGCCCCTGCTGCTCACACCTGGGCCTTTCCTTGGAGCCAGCCCCTGGGGAGCAAGGCAGCTCCAGGGAGCCTTTTCCCTGGAGGTCCTCACAGGGGCTCCAGGTTGGGCAGAGGGAGCTGTGCCCACAGGCCTGGGAAGCATTGCTCAGGGTGGGGGCTGGCATCATGGCCTGCAGAGGCACGGCCACAGCTGTAAGGGCCAAGATGCTTCCCCCCATCCAGAACCCATGTGCCACTATAGAGAGCATTGAGGGCACCTCTCCTCTCCCTTCTTACAGCCTACTTAGATCAGGCAGCAGCAGAGCCATCTTGTGCCATGGGTTTTGTTCTGTTGCCATCTACGTTTCTCTTCCTCAGTCTCTGGAAAGTCAGGCTGATAAATCCTTACCCAGGCTAGACCATTGCAGCATGCTGTATGGTTCTGAAGCTGGCCCATCGAAAGATCCTCTTGAGGTAGCTGGGACACAGACCTGGTGGCCCTGCCAGGCAGCCCAACTGCTGGGGAAGACATTTCTGCCACCCTGGGTGATGAGTAGCTTTTCCCCTATGGTTTTCTGGGGGAGGAGTGGGCCTCCTTAGGAGGACAGGTGACCCTGGGTGCCACCCCTGCCTGGCATGAGCCCCTGTGTGTTCTCAAGTGTTTGGTGAAGGCAGGTAGATGGTGCTGTCCAGTACCCCCCATATGAGGGCCACTTCCCTTCTCATGGAGTCAGCTGAGCATCAGCTCAGCCCTGCCATGTACCTACTCATTCTCCTTGCCTCCTGTCCATCCCTGGGTTTCCAGATGTGCCTGAGTCATCACTCTGGCCCATTGGCAGATGAGAGGCCTGAAGCCGTCCTGGCCACAGGTGTCACTTTCTCCTTCTCTTCTTGGCCTGCCATGTCCTTGTGTTGCCATGGGGTTCCGAGAGGTTTGGAGTTCACAGACCTCAGACAGGGCTGACCCCGACAGCCATTAGGGTGGGGCTGCTTCAGCCTCTGGGGCAGCCCTCCATCCTGCAGCAGGGCTGCCCCACCCAAGGTCCCCGGGGCTGGAGGGCACCATCATTCACTGTCAGTGGCTTCTCAGATGTATTTCAAGTACTAAAGCATATTTAAAAAGATCTAAGATGGGCCAGGCATGGTGACTCACACCTGTAATCCCAGCACTTTGGGAGGCCGAGAAGGGCGGATCACCTGAGGTAGGGAGTTTAAGATCAGCCTCACCCAATATGGTGAAACCCTGTCTCTACTAAAAATACAAAATTAGCCAGGCGTGGTAGCACATGGCCTATAATCCCAGCTACTCAGGAGGCTGGGGCAGGAGAATCGCTTGAACCTAGAAGGTGGAGGTTGCAGTGAGCTGAGATCTCGCCATTGCACTCCAACCTGGGCAACAAGAGTGAAACTCTGTTTCAAAGAAGGTCTAAGATACTCATTCTTTCTGCCTTTTCCCAGGATGGAGGCTTTGAAGACAGCTGATGACCTGGGCATGGGGTAAGGGTGCGCTGGGAGGCCAGGCCTGGGGGCAACCTAATGCTAGGTCCTTGCCGGCTCCCCTACCTGTTGGGCTACCTAAACTTTGCTACTAGCCTGAGTGATAGTGCCTTGGAAAGGCGGGCTCCACGAAGCAGCAGCAGGATTGTCTTCAGTACCTTAAACGTGCTCCCTGTGCTTCCCCTGGGAGGGTCTCTGGGAGCAGAGGGAGGCTGCAGACATCCCAGCTGAAGTGTTAGTGACCTCAGGCCCCAGGAGCTTCAGCTCCTTCTGCCCTGCACCCCAGGCATGTGGCCCCAGTAGGGGCCCAGGCAGGACAAAGGGAGCAGGCAGCAGCTGCAGGAACAGTCCCAGACAGGTGCTGGCCCCAACCCTGGCAGGGAACAGGGAGCCCAGAGTGATGTTTCTCCTAAGGCCAAACCCCAGGGCATCTCTTTTTAGAGGAATTCCAGCTGTTTATGGTCACACTGGGCTGGTATTGAAGGAGTTGCTGCCTTTTTCCTTGGAGGGCCCCTGATTCTTGAGGATCCTCCCCAGCCCAGGCACAGGGGGTCACAGGGCTGCCATGAACACCCACCTTGGACCTCAGGCTCCTGCCTGCACCAGTGACAGGGCTGGGGAGAGAAGCACTGGGGGTCTTCTGATCAGCCAGCAGGGTCCATTCCAGTGCCCAGAAGTCAGACCACAGGCAACCCTGAGGCAGCTGGGGCACCTCCTCTCTGCCCTGCAGGGCTTGCCCCAGGGCGTGAGGCTCCCCAGCCACAGCCCCCCCCTTACTTGCCTTAAAACTGGAGAGAGGAATCTAGTATTTGCACTTAGCAAAATATTTAAAAACTGAAAAAAATGTGCATGATCCGTCACTTTGTATAAAAATAGAAAAATGATTAAGTAGTTAAACCTTTTTCTTTACCTTCTGGTAGTAAAAATAGATAAAATAATTCGTTTATACTACTGTGTGTAAAAAGCCTGTATCATATGTAACTGGGACTTATGTAAATAAATGTTTGTGCGTTCTGCTCCATCTGGCTTCATCTCTCCCCACCGCTGTCCGGCAAGTTACAAGGACAGCTGGCAGATTAGTCCAAGTGATTCAATCTAAACCAGCATCCGCACCTCCCCAACTGTGTCTCCGCAGGAGCAGGCCCGGAAGGCACACCTGTGTGTAGTAAGAGCCCCTACCCCTACCCTGCCAGGGAGGAAGATCAGGTGATCTGCTAGGCAGATCACACTAGGGCAGCTACTAAGGCCCAGATTGGACACAAAGGGTCTGTTTGTTTGTTTTTGGCACAGAATCCCCTCCAAAAAAGGTGTGGTCAATTTCTCTTGCAGGCCCCTTCCCCAGTCTCTGTCCACCTAAAGGTCAGATAAACCAGAAGCCTCGCCCAGCTGAGGAGTGGACAAGGTTCCAGGGACAGGAAGTGCCTAAGCTGAGAGGCCGTGGTATTTGAGTCCCTGCCCTGCATAATGGGAGGCTGCAGTGCCAGGGCCCTACTACCCTCACTGGTTGCACAGCGTCTTCCCCTCCGGAGTCCTTCCTGCCATGTACCAGGCCAGGTGGGAATCTGAACCCTAGATCTGAAGGGGTCCCTGGGCACAGGGGAAGCTGAGACCTCCAAATACAGACGGACCACAGCTCACTTTAATAAAACAAGAAGTCTGCCGTTTGCAACTTTTTTTTTTTTTTTTTTTTTTTTTTTTTTGAGACAGAGTTTTGCTCTTGTTGCCCAGGCTGGAGTGCAGTGGTGCAGTCTTGGCTCACCGCAACCTCTGGGTTCAAGCAATTCTCCTGCCTCAGTCACCCAAGTAGCTGGGATTACAGGTATGTGCCACCATGCCCGGCTAATTTTTTGTATTTTTAGTAGAGACAGGGTTTCACCATGTTGGCCAGGATGGTCTCCATTTCTTGACCTCGTGATTCACCCACCTTGGCCTCCCACAGTGCCGGGATTACAGGCGTGAGCCACCGCGCCTGGCCTGTTCGCAACTCTATGGAACAGTTATCTGGTTTTGGCAGTGCACAGTGACTCACGCCGGTAATGCCACCACTTTGGGAGGTGGAGGCCGGTGGACCACGAGGTCAAGAGATGGAAACTATCCTGGCCAACATGGTGAAACTCCGAGTCTACTAAAAATACAAAAATTAGCTGAGCGTGGTAGTACTCGCCTATAGTCCCGGCTACTCAGGAGGCTGAGGCAGAAGAATCGCTTGAACCTGGGAGGCAGAGGTTGCAGTGAGCCAAGATCACAGAACAAGACTCCATCTCAAAAAAAAAATTATCTGTTTTTTGCATGTCTGAGAAAAATCATACTAAAAGCTTCAAGAGAAGAGTTACATGTCCCCCAAAAAAGTTACCCATATTCCCAGCTTCTAAACCATTTTTGTTTGGTTTTTTTTGAAGCAGAGTCTAGCTGTGTCACCCAGGCTGGAGTGCAGTGGCACAATCTTGGCTCACTGCAACTTCTGCCTCCCAAGTAGCTGCAATTACAGGCATCCGCCACCACACCTGGCTAATTTTTTGTGTGTTTGCAGAGACAGGGTTTCACCATGTTGGCCAGGCTTGAACTCCTGACCTCAGGTTATCGACCCACCTCAGCCTTCCAAAGTGCTGGGATTACAGGTGTGAGCCACTGCTCCCGGCCCAAATCGTGTTTGTTTTTAACTTGTTCATGCCATGCAGTCCCTGTTCCTGTTCCTGTTCTATATTTGCAAAAACATCATACAATTTTCTGCAATTTCAGTAAATAAGTAAAAGCTATTTATCCATTTTGCTGCTATCCTTTTTTCCATCCAATGTGACCAGGGTGGTGGTATTCTTCCCACCTTCTGCAGGTGCTGGCCAGCATATCGCAACATGCGTGATCAGGGCTTTGGGGCCTTTGGTTTTAAAGAAGTTAGTACCTTGCTTTTATCTTTTAACAATCATGGACTGTCCTCTAGGTCTATGGCTGTGTCTGCATCCAATTTGTTCTTTTGTCTTCCATGATTTTTTTTTTTTTTTTTTTTTTTGTCACAGTCTCGCCCTGTCGCCCAGGCTGGAGTGCAACGGTGTGATCTCACCTCACAGCAACCTCCACCTCCTGGGTTCAAGTGATTCTCCTGCCTCAGCCTCCCAAGTAGTTGGGATTATGGGCACGTGCCACCACACCCAGCTAATTTTTTGTATCTTTAGTAGAGACAGGGTTTCACCACGTTGGCCAGGCTGGTCTCAAACTCCTCACGTCATGATCCGCCTACCTCATGATCCACCTGCCTCAGCCTCCCAAAGTGCTAGTATTACAGGTGTGAGCCATGGCGCCTGGGCAATTTTTGTATTTTTAGCAGAGACAGGGTTTCACCCCGTTGGCCAGGCTGGTCTTGAACTGACTTCAAGTGATCCACCCCCGCCTTGACCTCTCGAAGTACTGAGATGACAGGCATGAGCCA